TTAAGGAAATATAATGAGAATTAACTAATTGCAACGACGCGCATAATGTAACAATTTGAAGGTGAGAGAAATGGCGAGGATCAAAAAGTCAAAACAAGGGGACGGAGAATGAATGAACCTTATCAAAGGACCGCGTCCATGTTTTGCTACTCCATGTGTGGTTATGCAGTAACTTTAATCATTACGAAGGTTAACCCATCATAATCTAATATTAGCTCTCTTCATTCCCCCGAAGTTGCAAGAAAATCTCCTGTGCTTTCATCCACGTAAATCATTAAAGGGAACGGAACAAATCAGTTTTGGCAGAGACGGTTAACATCGTGGGAATGGCAAATGAACGTAATTTGACGGCTAATCCAAGGGCATTCAAGTACATGAACGTTTATTAGATTTTTAATAGATATTATAAAGTAGTATTTTATAATAATTAACTGGTAAGCTGGGACCACGTGGATGGCTTCTCTGGGACGGCAATTTAGGCCGTATCCATCCCTGAGGTTGAGGGTATCTTCCAAAGTCATAGTTTCCCTTTAAGTTATTCATGCTTACGTGGATTCCTTTCTCTGTTATCATGTTTTGCTTTGTGTTCATCTCTCCAAATTTCTCTTTTTGACCTGAATCTCTCCAAATCCTTTTTATAATTTCATAAACACCTTGTTCGATATTTCAGTATGAATTTTAATTTTTACATGGGTTCCTTAGAATATCTGTAGTCATGCTGTAAGTTAAGAAGAAAATCAATTTTTATAATATTTTACTGTTATACCCAGGGAAAAAAAAAAGAAGTTAAAGTTCCCTCTGTGCTCAAGCACATGAACACAGTTTCCTTCCTCTGGAAATAAATTGTGATTGCGAGCATTGTTTTGTTGGCCACCCCCTGACCTCAAAGCCAAACAAGTCACAGATATGCAACATCTTTGGTTATTTCTCTTATTAATTAATTCCATTCTGCTCTTTTAAGAGAGCTAAAATACAGACACTGCAATTATGATTCCAGTGGAGAGGCGATGTTATGCTCTGCTTTTCATTTTAAAAAAGAAAAAAGGAGAGAGAGAGAGAGGAACATGAATAAAGAATCTGTTGGGAAGGGTACCAATTGACTAGTTTATAAAGATGCTTCATAAATTTCATACCCCTTTGCCCTGTCCCATACTATTTCACAATGAATGCCTCACAAAGCAAAACTCCAAATTAATGTCCAAAATTAAAATGAGGATTTCCGGCTCTCATAATTGATCAACACTTGGTAGAAGTGAGTATTGCCTCTCACGCCCAACACGACATCTTACCCATTTTTGTATGATAATGGACAATGAATCCTTATCATACTTAGGTGATCAGTAGACACGGCTCTAATTAACAACACCTCACCAGTAGTGTACTTTATGTTAATATATAATGAATCTGTATATGATGACGACACCGCTGCGCTGCTTAATATAATGATTCTGTAATATTATATTATTATATTCCCAGTGTCCTCCTTGTTGTCTCTTGCTTTTCTTTGCTTCATCCGTTGAAGGTCAATGAGCAAAAGTCAGTGATATAAAATACCCTTTCGAAACCCATATTTGGATAAAGCATGTGTTTTTAAATCACCAAACGTGGGGATTTTTTTTTTTCCCTCCAAATGAATTGAATATATATATGTATAAAGGGTGTTTTGTTGTGATCATGGTGGGGTATGGAAGGAGAATAAAGGAGGTGGATTTCAGAGGATGGCTGCTGGTTTCTTTGTTTTTGAAAGTGTGCCTAACTTGCTGTCATACTCATACCTTGCGGTGCACTTCTGTTGGAACAAAAGCGATTGCTTTTGCTTAAAGCATGAGAGCATTTGAGATCCAACTAATACAAACCACTGATCTTGAATTAAAGCTTGAATCTTTTTTTTTTTAATTGACCAAAATTAACTCCCTGGTCATTCCCAAACGTTCTTCCACAATTCAAATTAAATTGATAACATGGCTCCTGTAGGCCCCCCCCCCAAAAAAAAGAAGCCTTTTTTCCGTTCCCCATGGATTTGTCCCTAGTTTCATCCCCTTAATCAGCTTTTTTATCAATTCCATATGTTAACCACACCCCCACCAATATAATTTAAACGTATAATACAACAAGGACACGAGGCACTCACACATACGTCGCATTGATCTTACCATCTTGGTCCTTTTCTTCTTCTTCTTCTTTTTAGTGACAAGGAACTAATCAAAAACAAACAAGAACAGCCAAATAATGCTGGTAGCTTGAAGAGTCTCCTAAGCCTAATCACCAGACAAGACATGACCTATGCAAACTGCTCATTTTGCTATGTTAGTCCTTTTCTTCAGCTTCTTTGTTATGACAAACCAAATTAGCGCAGCTGTCACGTAGAAGGGCTCAAAGGAACTTTGGGATAAGATGCAGACTAGTCATCGTTATTTTTTTCCCTTGCATTAACATTTAATTATGCTCGCCTTCTCTATGACCTTGATTTTATCCATTACAAACCATAGGGTTTTTTTTTTTTTCCTTTTTTCTTTTCCCTTTTTTGGGTTAAAATCTCAAGTCTTTATGCGAGTGGTAGCTTGTGCAACGTCATTTTGAGTTCACCGCAAGTTTAAGGTTAAGATAGCATGATTATCACAATTTTGAAATGATTAAATTGACATAATAGTGATGTCATGGCAACCAAACTATTCGACTAAAATTTGATGAAAATATAGAGCATCTCCCTCGGCTTCAGTCACGGTGATCGTTCAAGGGAAGTTAAGTGAATTTTTTTTTTCCGTCAAAGAATTATAGGCATCTGTGGAAAATAAGAGAGATTAAGTCGACTACAAACACATCAAATAAAAAATTAATATTTTCAAATAAAACACTCAATTATAGTTACGTGTTTTCTTTTAAACGACAAATTTATATTATTTATCTACTCCTCCGGTCCATAATATAGGACCCAATTATTGAATTAACTTTAATCTTAAATATAAGACTCATTTCTCATATTTATCAATTTTCTCTAAATTACCCCTATAGATACTCCCTCAACCATAATCAAGTAAGAGAGGAAGAGTGGGTATTAAGAAAAATAATTATGGTATTTTAGGACAAACGTGTCATATTTCTTATAATTAACTAACTTACCTAACTTCCTTAATTTAATCAAATTAGTTAAATAGGTCTTATATTAAGGAACGGAGGAGTATAATTGGATTAATTAAACTGTCCATATTTGATTATTTACCCACCCAATATTTAAAACAATCAATATATATTAAACGTTTCTCTTCATCGATTTCAAAACATTACCATCTTGCTTCGCTTCAGGTGCTGATCCCCGCTTCTGTCTTTCTTTTATATTTCCATGTAATTAAACAAAAATAGTATGCTAATTTGCAAAGGCAGGCTTCCGTACAAGAAATTATAGTTATGATGAGTTATGCAGCATGGGCTCTGCCTGTGCTAAGTCATGGTTGTGAAGAAGCCGAATTGAAAAGCTAAGGTTGCCTTATGAAGCATGTACTCCGAAGCAATGAGACAGAAAATCAGACAGATTTCAAAGGTTTCTGCACTCTTAAAGGGTGGGTCGTCAAGAATAATGATATCTAAATTATTATTGGAGGCTTGGTGAGCTAACCAGTCGGCGTATTTATTTACTTATCTGAGTCCACTTGATAAAGGGGACGAGAGGAGCAGAAAAGATGGTATATTTGGTTTCTGTCATCAATGGTAGATGGCAAATATTGAGAAGACATGTGATGTTGGTGGAAATTTATGAGATTGGGTGTACCTTCGACAAATTGGGACGGACACTTTGATCATTCTTCCCTGGGTCGCTGCATCAATTGCAGCTTGTCGTGAGATTATAAAGTAGTTAATGGATGGAAAATGGACGCACCGAAACAGAACTGAAGAGCATCAACTATAGAGCTATTGAAAAGTCACTGAGATTTGTTAATGATCAAGCCATGGGTATGTGATGGGCAAGACAAAATTTCAATTCGAAAGTTCTATTGTTGGCCTGCCCTCGTTATTAATGGCCAGACTGAATTCCCCTGCCAAGTTGTAGATAAGTACCCTGCAGCTCATTTTAGCTGTAGGTAAGGTGCATTTAAAGAGTTGCGTTAGGACCTGGATCTGAATTTTACCTTGGGAACCGACCCAAAAGAGGATCACTACCGAAGTTGAGATCGTACCCGCTTCTCAATATTTGTAGCCCGGTTTTTCAAGTTTTAACCCAACTCAGTTCAAGTCCATAAACAGCTTACTCGTTCCCGCATTCCGGCTGCCAACCCTAGCCCCTAGTTTTTCAGAGTCAAGATCTATGATCTATCAAGTATGGAAAAAGGAAAAATGTATTTTGGTCGATTCCGCATTAAATTAGCCTCTCCAATAATGAAATATAGAGCCTAAGAATTAGCTTGATCTCAAGGAAATGCAACATGTTGGTTAAGGGTTTCAAGTCTTACGGGAAAACCAATTGCCACCCGTGGCGTAAGAAGCTGAACCAATTAACCATGAACGACGTGAAAACTGAAAAACATCGATAGAATATTATCACCAACACTTGGAGAGAGAAAAAAATATTGATTAAACATGCCATGACCAATTAAAAGTCATGTAGAACCATAACACTGGTTATAAAGCTTCTTCAGAATAGCTTAAAAGTTATATAAACTTGGCAAAATCCATTTCAAGTTGTGCATGCTGCTGCATTGTGTAAATAACCATCCAATATAGTAACTGTGCAGTTGCTGGTTCTTTGTTAATTTTTCTTCGTTTTGTACTTTGTTTCTTGTTCCTTTGTTAATGACTGGTTCTGTGGCTTGGACCGGTACCGCATACTTCCCCAGATAATTTGGGAATGGTCTGATGTTATTCCAGCGTGTAAAACTAAGATCTCAATCAATATCCCGCGCTAAAAAGCATACCTCCCCATAAAGCCCGTCGATTAGAGCATAAGGGTAAATTCAGGCATTACAGTGTCTAAAACACCCCCCCCCCCAAAAAAAAAAAGAGCCTCAAACAAGAAGAAGCCAAGATAATATTATTAATCATTTGACGGACGCCTATCAATAATCAAAAACTCCCTAGCATATATAACTGTAGATAGCTCAATCATAGTAACACCACAACAGCAAAGCCCATAGTCTCAAATCACTTAATGCAGAATGTGAAACCAAAACCAGAAAGGGGACAAAAAAGATAAAGGCTAGAACTACAGCTAGAACTTCCAGCTTTATAGATAGCATGACGCTTAGCACTTCACCTCCTTCAAGGCATAAGCAAAGTAAAGAAACGTTGGGTCAGTAGCACCATCCTTGTAGTAGGCGAAGACCAAGCTACCATCATCATGCATGCTCTCCCCAACAAAGCTGCCAAAAAAAAAATCAACATCAGTAACTTAACTATGATGGTTCACCAAAAGCTGCTGACAGATTACAGAGCACTTACAACTGAAGGTCACTGAGCTTGGAGAGCAGGAATTTGGTTGCTCCCTCGATATGTTTTTTAAACAGCTCTTGCTTCTCTCCCTCGAGTTTTGGTGTCAACAACTTGATGTACCTCTTCATGAAGACAAGGAATTGCTTCTTGTCAAAAGCAGGTTGCTCCTGAAAAAAATGAAGTAAAAAAATTCTTATCCTCTAAACAACACCAAGCAAGTCACCCAAGACTAGAAAGTTTAGGAGGAAAGTTCAGGTGTCCAAACCTGAAGTCTAAACGTGTCAACAATATCAACAACCTTAACAGCTTGGTCATCAACACCCTCATCTTCTCCACCTTCAGCTGAAGGGTTTGCGCCAATGTCTACATCAACTGCTCCTTTAACGACCCACTGCAAGCCAAAAAGATTGTGTTTAGCATGCAGTAAACAACCCAAACTTTGAGCAAAATTAAAAACGAAATAATATATCGCCTACACATTAACATAGAAACAAAAAGGGGGGCAAAATTCAACTAACCTTTCCATCAACTTCCCACAACATTCCATTCTCAATTTCCTTGTATGGGAAGGAGTCCGAGAGAAGCTCATCGCCTACGCAGCGGAATAATAATTAGTATGGTTGTTTTCGCATGCAGCAGAACCATTGCATACCCAAAAAAAAAAAAAGGCTGATAACGATGTATCAGAACTTATGATAAGAGAATTTATCGAGAGAGAGCCAGAAGAACAAGAACAGTCCCACATAATTCGCCAACAAAGATGATGGTCTATGTGAATTCATGCATCAAGTATTGAATCACCATTGTGGCTTGCGCGCAGGCGAACGCGCAGATTAGAACATACATTAATATTAACAATAAGATGGAAAATTGGACTAGCACCAACAGTTTCCACAGGATACAGCACATGAAAACTCAAATTTTCGCCATGCAAAACAACCATTATCCAGAACATAATCTAAGGATCAGATCACCGCAAAACATGTATGTCGATTATCAATTAAAAAGGACAGGTTCAAATATCAAAAGAAGTTCAATAGATGGAGACGATCTTGCGTTGATCGGCGTTCCGAATAAATCCAAACGAAGTTAGTAGAAACACAGCATCTCACATGATAAAAACAAAAACCAAAAATTCAGAAAATAAAAGCAACCTCGTCCAAATATAAAACGAAAGTCACATATAGAATCTAGTAATAGAAAGGAGAACAAGTAACAGCATATGCGAAAGAGAGAGAAAAAACTAATCACGAGATCAATAAAGAAAACCATAGGACGAAGATAATTTATAAAAATTAGGAGAACTTTATGCAAGAAAAATACCAGTGAGGAGGTCCTGGTAAACCAACATCTTCGCTGAGTTACTCTTGGATAGCTCCGAACAGTTTGAAAGTATGAGTAAGAGAAACTGAGAAACAGGGAGCGACGAGGGAGCTAGGAGGGTTTGCTAAGAGATAGACCAAGAGAACTTATAAGCAAGGGTTTGGCCGAGGAGGAGGAGGAGGAGGAGGAGGAGGTGCTTGAACAGAAAATTACGCTTATGGATCTCTCTTTTTCCTAAATGCCCTTACAAGTCCTGCGAGTTTTTAACTTGGATCTCTCACATTTTATTTTTGGGCCCATCATTTTCATGGGCTGGGCTACTGGACCAAGGATTTTCCGCAGACGCAACCTCTGGGCTGAAGAAGGTTTCAATGTTACCCCGGGGGGGGAGTTAACGGGGAAAAAGCTTTTTTCTTTTGAAGGGGCAAAAAAAAAAGAAATTGAAGCTTATGTATTTAATTATATGATTTTGTATATTTATTATCTAATCAGTATAAGATATGCGGGCCAGATGGATATATCATATGGATTTTTTGGGTTAAAAAAAGCAGGACCTTCTATCTCTTCAGCACTGTGTGTCTGTGTTTGCATAGAAACAAGGTTGGGGCTGGGAGTTAATACTACCTCCAGGGTCTAATCCTAGATAACAGAGCTAATTAATTAATTTTAAAAGATTAAAAAAATAAATTAAATTATTTGTAATAGAAAAGTATTGTCTTTCTTAAAATATCCTTACTAATTAAGTGTATTGGCTATAACTACTATTGTTAAAAAAATTATTTTTGAAAAAAAATAAATAAATATAAAAGACAAAACGAATTGGGGTCTTATATTTAAAATTAAAATAAAAGTCAAATGTGATCTTACATTAAGAACCAAATGTGGCATATTTTCTGTCTGCGTTTGACTAGATTATCCTTCACGCTTTTACTTGGTTTTTGGTTAAATTTTGTTGCCTCTCTGATAGAAGCCTGGTTAGTGGGACGGTGACGCCGCTAGTTTATTTCCCAGCCAATGTATTCGAGTCTAAATTGGCGATACGTGCCCCTTCAATTTGTTAATTATCGTGTGAAGCTTTGGTAGGAGAAGAAGATGTTGTTGGCTTTACGTTCAGGCTGATGGTCGTTCTCAACATTGAATATTAATTCCTTGTTTAGAAGAATCAATCCAAAGCGTGTGATCACTGAGCGTGTGTGTGTGTGTGTGTGAAGTAAATTTCTCATAGTGATGAAAAAAATGATGGCACGGGATCACTCATGGAGTGCCTGCAAGCCCATACAATAATGAAACAGATGGCGCACTACTACCTCCGGTCCTAATTATAAGACCCAATTGATTTATTTGAGGAGATTAAAAAAATAAGTTAAGTTAGTTATTTGTAATAAATAAGTATTGTCATTCCTAAATATCCTTGCTAATTAAGTATATTGGCTAGAACTATCATTATTAGAAGGATTATCTTGGAAAAAAATGCATAAATATAAGAGACAAAATGGATTGGGGTCTTATAATTAAAACCAAACAAAAAGTCAAACGGAGTCTTATAATAAGACCGGAGGTAGTATTAATTAGTTGCCGACAAGCAGCTCCAGAAAGAGCTTATCCACCACATGCAAAAATGTACATGAAGCATTTGAAAGTCAAAGCCGTAGTTGCCGCCACGCCAAAATCAGGTACACAGCCATAACCTGAAGCTTCAGAGACTTGGACTGACTCGTGCGCAAAGTAAGCTCAAATAAAGACGGGCATTATAACAGTAAAAAAGTTGCTTCTGCAATGGCAGATGCAGCATCTGCAACCACAGCTCGTTATGTGAACAGGGAGACAGGGACAGCGCCACGCTAAGTTCTTCGCAGCATTTGGTGGTTTAATATGCTTTTTCTTGTTTTTCGGAAGAGTTTGTATCTGCATGAAACCTTGCCCACCGCCAAGTTTAAAAGGTTAAATCATGGGAGCTTAGGTTTTTATTCGAAAGGTAAACAAGATAAAATCACGTCGCAGTAAGACTGAATATAAAAATTGCTTAGATTTGATTCCACAACTTAGGGGTGTTTGGAAAGCATGAAAAGTGCTTTTTAAAAGTATTTTTTTTAAAAATGAAATAAATTTTTTCACATATTTATTTCGCATATTGTAAAAGTATTTTTAAAATCATGATTTTGATTCTATTCAAATATTCCCTTAAATGAGAAGTAGCTGAGAAAATGCATGAAAATTAAAAAAAATAAATTATAAGCAGCTTTTCAATTGTAATTTACATAATACGAGGTAAGTATGTGAAAAAAATTTTATATTAATTTACATAAAACACGTCTATATGTAATTTTAATACAAAAAGACGCTAAAGGGAGCAGAGAGGAACTAATTAAACCAATCCATCGCCATCTGCATGCCCAAACAAGCTGAGAATGCTAGTGCAATTACTATTATGATGGTGCAGCGCATTTTAAAGATGAATGGAGATTATTATATACTCCTTTAGTTATTAATATGGGACATAATTAGTAAATTAATTTTGATCTTAAATATAAGATTTATTTTTTATATTTATCAATTTTTTCTAAATTACCTCAATGAATACTCTCTCAACCATAATCAAGTAAATGAGGGAGGATATTAAGAAAGATGATTATGATGTTTTAGAAAAAAATATGTCATATTTCTTATAATTAACTAAATTACCTAATTTTTTTAATCTAATCAAATTAGTTAAATAGGTCCTATATTAAAAATTGGTGAAGTACATATATATTGATGTAGATAATTTATATTTTATTTTTTAAAATTATATATATTATTATAAGGAAAAACTAGATAAGACTTTTAATACGAACAAGTGGAATTAATTGAGAGATAGAGAAATAAGGGCAGTGAAAGGAAGGGGGCAGCCGATTAGATGGAGAAAGCAGCGTCGTTTGTGGATCTAAGCAGTGTCACTTGCTCATGTCTCGCGCGTCTCCCTCCCACGTGACGCCCATTCATCTCTCTCTTTCTCACTCTCTCTCTCACACATCCCAGTTAAGTTTTAAGTCTCAACTGTCCCTGGAAGGAGGGGGGGGGAGAAAGGTAAAAAAAAAAAAAAAAAAAAAAGTCTACCTACCATCCCTGATCAAAATTAAAGCACGGGGAAATTAGCGAGTCCCACCAACCGCGGTTTGCTCTCGCCATCCCTTCTTTCCTTCTCTTCTCCCCTTTCTTTTTCGATTATCTTTTGAAAAGTAAATACTAATACTGTTTTCCATATTTTTGCTAAAAAAAAAATACTGTTTTCCATATTTTCACTCTTTTATTTAAAACTATAGAACCTTTTTTTTTTTGCCAGCGTTAAAATTACAGAACATTTAATTAATTTTCAGCCAAATGAAAGACTGCCAACAACTTTAAAAACTATCCACTTTTTCATGTCACAAGGATAACGTGATCGCATTTAAATATGAAGTTTTCATCAAATTTTAAATATTCTCTAGGAATACATTTTTTAAGAAAATCATTAGTTACTCCTTTAAAAAATAGTACTCCTCCGGTCCTTAATATAGGACCCAATTCTTGAGTTGGTTTTTGTCCTAAATATAAGACCCATTTCTCATATTTATCAATTTTCTCTAAATTACCCCTATAGATATTCTCTCAACCATAATCAAGTAAAAGAAGAAGATATGGTATTAAGAAAGATGATTATGGTGTTTTAGAAAAAATGTGTCACTTTTGTTATAATTAACTAACTTACCTAACTTCCTTAATCTAATTAAATTAGTTAAATGGATCTTATATTAAGGACCGGAAGAGTATTAAGATATCTTATATATTTTTTATTATTGAAAGAGTACGAAAATATTTTATGACGTTTCACCGACGGAGAAGGGGCTATCGCTACCACCGTCCTCTATCTCTACTGCTCTACACGGTGGCTATGCTGTTATTATTCAAAATCAGTCTTGGTGCTTATTTTAGTGACAAATATTATTTATCGTGGTAAAACATATATCATCTATATATAGTTTTAATAGTTTAAAATTAAAATTTTTAACAAATAAAAAATTATCTTAAAGGAACTAACAGTTAAACAATTACATTTATTTTAAATTATTTAATATTAAAATACCTTTTTTAAAAAGTAAAAATTTAAAAATTTAAATTTTAACTATTTATATTAAATTTAAATGATTAAGATCTTACGTTGTAAAACAGTTCTATTCAGTCGTGATCACATACTCATTCTCAAGTGGCAAGTCACTTGAGCCATTTAATTATGGGAATTTGAGATTAAAATAGAAACTACACCGATTTTAAAAGTAATTTTAATGTGTAAGAGTTTAACCCCCATTTACAATAAAATATTTTTAAAAGTATTTTTGTCTAATATTAAATACTTCTCAAATCCCCACCCACCCGCATCCCCAAAAAAATATATTAAAATGAAAAAGCAATGCGATTCACGCTTCCCCAACGTAATTACCGCAATGGCCTCGTGACTACGCTCCTTCTCCCTAGTTGGTCATCAATCTGCCCGTAAATTACAAAATGAACTTGCTCTCTCGTGTTTTTGTCAACGAAGTGATTCATACGTGGGAACCAAAAAATGGGGTACAGACAGCAATACAAGAACGTGTAACTTTAAAAAAATAAATAAATAAAGGAAAGTACAGAGTTCAGCCGTGGGACCTAGTAACCCAGATCCGTGAGCGATCTTCAGTCGCCGGAATCATCGTCGCCGCCGAAGATCGAAACGCGGTTGTACAGGAGGAAAAGGATGAGGAGGAGGAAGAGGGCGACGCCGACGGGTGATCCGCTGACTCGGTGGATGGAATCGGGTTCGCCGGTGGAGAAAAGGGAGGAGATGAAAGAGCCGCGATCGGAGGAGAGGAACTGAATGGTGAGGAGGAGGATAATGGGGAGGAGGAGGAGGCCCAGGGGGCTGAGGAGCTCGGAGATGGCTTCAGTGATGGCCTCGCCTTGATCGCCAAGAAGGAAAGGAACAATGACAACAATGGCCACCACCAGTGCTAGAAGGATACCATGGGGCGCACCACCTTGTCTTTCTTCTATCATATTGGGGTGCGAGGCTTCTGATACAGATCGGACGCGAGTGCTGTTTCGTGGCGTCGGTGATATGGGGCCTTCAACTAGGTGCTTTTCTTTATGTAGATGTCAGATCTTGTAGAGAGCACTCAAAATAGGGAAAAGATGATTGTACCCCGGGGGGGGGGGGGGAATGAAGTTGCTGAGCAAGTGCTGTGGGGATGTGAACATAAATAATATGGGTGGAAAACAGCATCGGAAGAGTGGGAGAGAGGAAGGAAGCAGATTTCAATGTGACTTGGTATGAATGTGTGTGGAAAGTGGAAGAATGAGGGCCGGACGATGGAGCCACGGTTTGGGCTGATCCTCGCTTCAAAATGGGGGACTGGCCCGTCCACTGAAAATGCATACAGATAGGAATGTTACAATAGTAATTTATTTGTCCAATTTATACGATGGTCCGTCTAATGTATAATCATCATTGCTGGTAAAAAAAATCTAATACTCCTCCGATCCTTAATATAAGACCCATTTAACTAATTTGATTAGATTAAGAAAGTTAGGTAAGTTAGTTAATTATAAGAAAAGTGACACATTTTTCCTAAAATACCATAGCCATCTTTCTTAATACCCCTCTCTCTTATACTTAATTATGGTTGAAGGAGTATCCATAGGGGTAATTTAGAGAAAATTGATAAATATGAGGAATAGGTCTTATATTTAGGACCAAAACTAACTCAAGGATTGGGTCCTATATTAAGGACCGGAGGAGTATATAATCATTTTTAGGCTGTGTTTGGGTGACATCCCAAATCATGGTTTGGAGAATAAATCACCTAAATACCAACCCAAAAATCAAAACTATGGTTTTGGAAAAAGCAAAAAAATTTTGCTTTTGGAGAAAAAAGGAAGAGTGTGAGAGCCTATAGGATATGTATCTTGTTTTTTTTTTATAAACATATTTAATCTTATATTTTATAAATATATATACATATTAATTATTTATTAATTATATTATCTTATGTATTATTAATTATGTTAATAAAAAATATATTATTAACAATTTTATTCCTTCAAATTAAAATATATCATAAAATCTATTTTTTCTGTAATTATCATATTAACTTATGTCTTTTTTTTAGTAATTTGTATATATAAAAAGTGCTTCTGATAACAACTATCCAAACACTCTCATTTCTCAAAATCACTTTTTCATAAAATCTATTCTTTCTAGAATCTATTCTTTCCAGAATCTATTCTCCAGAATCACTTTTTTAAACCACGATTTGGTTTCATCCAAACACACCGTAATAAAGTTTGGGAAAAATTATTTTATTATCGCTTTTTGTTAAAGATACATGGTTATCATGTACTACAAAAATGCGATTAACAAAGCCTTCTATAACTGCGATCATTTATATTTTTTAAAAAAAAGACAGAGAGTCTAAGCGTTCTCTTATTGATTAAAAGACAACAAACAGTAATAAACTATGACGACTCACTTTTAGTGGGGAAATTGGAATTCCAATTTTGCAAGGGTTGTGAGGTGTTTAACGTAGATCATATATGATGGGGGCATTGATGAACCAACAACGGGAGATAAAAAAAGGCTTGCATTTTCCAGTAACATAGAATTGCATATGATAGCAAACTTTTCAGCGGCAATTATTTGACCAATGTACATCAGCCATACATCTCAATGCAATGAAGAGAGTAGGAAGAGCTGCGAATGATATTTTGACATCTATTTATTATTTTTCTTGTTACTGAACTGGCCGAGCTTCTTCTGTATGTATTCGAAATCAAATTTTCTTTTTATTTGGAAAATAATGATAATTTTGGTGGCCTAAAAGAACGAAAGAAGAAAGTACATAAACCGGCTGATGCACCAATTGAGGAGGGTAAAGCTAGTCAAATGTTGAGTGAGGTACTTGTGGTGGGTAAGAGTGGATAGAATCCTTCCACGCAGTGGCCGTGTTTGGCTTCACATCGCGCAAGCACTGCCACACTGCGCTATTACACTTAAAGCCGCTGCCAAAGGCAATTTGCCACACTCTGTCCCCACCTTTCATTCTCCCCTTCGCTTCAATATAACACAGCTCGTACCAAATCGAGGATGATGAAGTGTTCCCAAACCTGTACAGAGTCATGGATGATGCTTCCACGTCCTGTTGCCTCAGCCTCAAGTTTCTCCTAACGGCTTCGATCACAGCCCTGCCCCCTGCATGTATGCAGAAATGCTCAAAAGCCTTGTTGAAATTTGGTGTGTAGATGCCTGTTCCTCTTGTTATCCTCAGTTTATTGCAAATCAAGGAAAACAGATACATGAACTGCTCCCTGTACGGGAAAGCCAAAGGACCCAGCGAAGCCATATTTGTTTTTAGCGCGTCCCCAGCCACATCGATCACCTTTTTGGATATCGACACCCCTACTTCATTCTCTGGGTCCACGTCCATGTATATGCAGCCATGAGACTGATCATTTTGTGCTTTGGTTGTTCTCACGACATGCTTTAGCCTATACTTGGCCCTGTGCTTATCTTGGACCCTGCTCGACATCAATACAGCAGCTCCTCCCATTCTGAAGAGGCAATTTGTAAGCAACATGGATGGGACTTTACCATTGTACCAATTTAGACTGAGGGGCTCTATGCTTACTATGAGGGCCAAGGAATTCCTGTGAACTCTTAACAAGTCGTTAGCCAAACTGACCGATACGAGGCCAGCACTACATCCCATGCCTGAGAGGTTGAAGCTCATGACGTTGTTCCTCATTCTGAACTCATTAACCACCATGGCACTGAGAGATGGGGTAGGGCAGAAGACGCTGCTGTTAGTGATTAGTATGTCTATGGCTTTTGGCTCGATGTTGCTTTCCTGAAGCAGCCCCGCAATGGCCGTAAACATGGTTGTTTCGGCCTCCTCAAGGGCGGAGGAGAGGGCTTTTGTTTTGGGAATGCAAGCAAGAGATGGAGAAATGCAGGTTTGCTCACTGTACCCGGATTTTTCCAGGATCTTGCACTGAAACGCGATGGAGTCCGGATCCATCTTGTCATAAACCATACTCTCTCTGAACATGGACAGGGATAGCCTATAAGAGCTGGGAGGACGATAGCAGGAATAGTCCATCAAATAAATGTCCACTTTTCTTCTGTGCACAAGGTATAAAAGCGCCAGCAGTGCAAAAGCCAATGCCATGGTTAAATGCGGGGAAGATGAGAGAAAGAGCTCTATCACAGTGTTGGCTGCTGGTGGGATAAACATTTGGACCGAGGAAGACAATACATGGAGAGCCATGTCATGAAATTTAAAGTGAATGTGCTTTTGTTTTGGGCAGCATATATGGTTGATCGGCGCTGGCATAATGAATGTCACGATTATGTGACCTGAGGTAGAGAGAAAAGTTTGTGGGGAAAGAAAGAAAGAACAGAGAAAGGAAGTCCCCTGGGAAAAGAAAAGGGGCCAAGCACGCTATTAGTGCTTCCCCATAAAATGGTCATTACCAGCGGCACATGGTCACACGGCACTCAAGCTCAATCTCCAATCCTCGTGTTCCCTTGACGTATATCAGGCCCAGACAAAGGGATTTGGGCCAGATCATGAACCAGTGCCGGCCCATTGGTAAGGAAGCATCACAAGACACACGACGAATGAGAGGACTATTATTTAGAATTTTGAACGGTGAGGAATGAAGTGAATGACGAGAGAGAAGTGATGAGCGTGAAATCCGAGTGGTGTGATAACGAGAATATCAATTTGGGAAAAAAGAAATGGGAGGAAATGTAGGAAGGAGTAGGAAAAAGGAGAGTGGGGGTGAGGAAAGGAAGGAGCGTCGTGAAGACTGGCTTGGGAGGGTGGATATATAGATATATTTATATAACTAAAGATTAAAGATGGGAGACAAGTGGGGATCCAATCCAAATTCCTATGGGCAGTGGCAGAGGATAACCATGAAGCTGATGTTGCCACTTGCATATTCGCATTATTCCCAGCGGCGGTTGTTGTCCCCCCACATAATATTATTTTCGTCAACTGTCTTCGGATCCTCCGCACCCACCCCAAAAACAGCTCATTCGTTCTCGCTCTCATTCACTGTTGGATTCACATCTAAATGTGAAATCCCAACAAGTCTCTCTCTAATTCTGAGGTGACATGTCCCCACACTCCCTATCAACTCCTGTTCATGCAGTTTCATTTTCAATCTTATTTATAAAAATAAGTTTCAAATTTAGTAAAAGGTATGATTCATTTGACAAGTTTAAATTTGAATTTGTCTTAACAAACATTTAATGTATTTTTTTTTAATGTCATCTGTAATTATTTTTTTCTTGTCATTTTTCTCTACACATTCTTTTTCATCGTTCTTCTAATTTGTTATAAGGATATATTTGAACACCAAAACATATTTCTAACATATTTATTGTTTTAAATCAATTTTAAATAATTGTTTGTTATCTGTAAATTAGCTATTTGAAAATTTATAACAAATAGTATTGATTTTAATATGCCAACAATGTTTTTTTATATTTCCATGGATGTTGTACTTTTATTAATTAAAATTAAAGTTACATGTCATGCAATTAATTGTCATGCGACTTCCCTATGTGGTAATCTTATTCTTTTAATTAAAAAGTTTTATTCACAAGATTTTTAATGTATAAACTAGCTATGTTCTTTGATATATTATTCAGAATCTGATAATAAAATTACATTACTTAAAATTTGTGGCAGCTTATCATGATTATTATGATATTATATGATATAGGATATATAGGGGATCGGCAGTAGCTGACGAATTAATTTAAGAGTATGATATACCAAATGTTTTTCTGAAGCGATAACAATTGATAAGCCTTCCGTGTCCAAGGAAAAGAAATCACAAAATTATTCTTATGAAGTGTAACAATATACTCACTCCGACTCAAAATATAACCTAAACTTTATCTATTATATTTATCAAAAAACTAATTAAGATCAATTTAAATCAATAAATGTGTAAGGCATATTTTTTTTTCCTAATATATCCGTATTAATAAAAAGAATAAGTAAAAGATGTAATAAATGAATTAAAGAGGAGAGAAAATATATAGAGATAAAATTAAAAAAATCTCATTAAATACTTGGATAAAATTAAATATTATCTTAGAAAAAAACTAACCTTTTAAAAAAAATTTAGCTTATATTTTAAACCGGAAGCAGTACTATTTTGAGATAATTATAGTGTTCATATTTAATTAAAGTAAAGGAAAACTGCGCCATTATAGCGGGGCGCAAAGACGCTCCCACTACACACAGAAAACCTGGCATAGTCCAAAATTAAGGTCGGTACGTGTCCGCCGCCTCACATTGCCTATAAATAACCGCAGAAACCTGGAAACCCTACTTGCACAGGGAGAGGGAGACGAGGGGCAAGGGTGGTGGATAGTGGAGGCTATTGGAACGCTGCCACCTTAGCTCTCACAATGGCTCGTTCTCTCTCTCAATCGAAGGGTATCGTCTGTCTCGTTTCCGACGCGCTTAGCTCGACTCTTCATCGGCGAGGCTATGCGGTTTCTGCATCTCCATCGCATGTCCCCCTGAACGGCGGCAGAATGGGGAAGCTCGAAGACACATCGGCCACGGCGACCAATCAGAGTTCGTCAGAGGCATCCTCTGCATGGGTTCCAGATCCCGTCACTGGTTATTACAGGCCCATCAATCACTCCCCGGAGATCGACCCGGCGGAGCTCCGACTCATGCTTTTGAACCCCAAAGTCAGGTCACCCACCCACTCCACTTGAAATCTGTTTTTTACTGGCTTCGAATGATCGATCTTTTCAACGTTATATGATACTAGTACTATTTTCTGCTGCTGCATATCTGTCACGCATGACCAAATTACAATTTTTCAACATAGAAGAGTTCTTGATTTGATTTCCATGTTAACAGTTGTATTCTCAATGCTTAAAGAATTTATTATTTTTCCCTGCTTTGGTTTTCGAAGGATTTAAATTTAATTTCCGGGCGTGGCGACGCTGCGATGGTACCATGTAGCTCCTGTGTTAAAATCTGACGATTTTACAATATCATAACTCCTCACTTGACAAGGAAATGTTGGCAACAAAAAAAATAAAAATAAAAGAACCAACTAAAACTAAAGTGGGATCGGGTCTGTCCATAATTTAGATACAATGTCCCCAAGGGGCTGCTCGATATCTGGACATAATAAAACATTTAAAATTTAATGTTAACTAATCTTCGGCCATGACCCGTAACTATAAATTATTCGTTGTACCCAGCATCAATTATCCATGAGTCGAGTTCATTCTCCAAGCGTTCTTTATGAAAATTGACAATATTTTTTTCAAGTTAAAAAAAAACTTCTTTAAACTGATTAAAATTGCGTAAGTTCAGAGATCAACTTTTCCTTAAGATGATATATATATATATATATATATAATTTTTGGGCTTTAAAACTATGAATTATCAATATACACTTCCTAAATAATGATCCCTTAAGGCTATTCAGGGGACGGGTTCCTTTTAGAAAACAAATTGTAATTTTGGGTATAGATTTTTTTATATATTATATTGTTTTTTTAATTGGGCTTATAAAAATAAAAACATTTAAAAAGTTTAATTATATAGCGTAAAATATGTAAAAACAATATTGTGAAAAAATATCACAAAAGAAATACTACATAATAATTTTATGAATTATTTTATAAAGAAAGAAGATTTTATTGAGATAAAACCGTAACTTATGAGCAGAAAATTACTATAAAAAATACTTATTATTAACAAGTAAATGGAATAATAATTATTAATAAATAATTTTTTTTTCAAAAAATATCTTGAGATTGGGCAGGACAACCCGTCCCCGTTACTGTTTTGTTTAATGACTGGAAGGGAACAAGTTAAACACTTTCTGCCCCCACATTTGGGCTGACATTGATGCCCACAATCTGATTCCGGGAAACTTCTTGTATAGGCGGAGGCCTGGCTATTTAAGATGCTAGAGAAGGAAAACACGAGGAAAGTAATGGACCATGGGCCGCAAAAATAGTCCCGATCGGTCTCAACGTAAGAGGAAGCCCGTTAGCCCATGCATCTCTAATATTTCCTTTTTATATGCCTGACTTTATTAATTATTAATATCACCATCAAGATGAAAAGCATATTGGATTTATTTCAAGCTATGATCTCATAGAAATGCAGGGGAAAGGGTGCTGTTTTAACAGTGTTTCATGAGCAAAAACAGTTGGAAAGGCGCTGCTGTTTTTCTTCTTTTTTTCCCCCCTTTTTTTGGGGAATAAGAAGGCAAGCTAAGCTTGAACAAAACAGCCATGTTCCATCTCGAAAACAGGTTTCCTAATAGTTTGAGGAAGGGTTTGGATGAAACTCAAATTATGATTTAAAAAGTAATTTTACGGTATATAAAATAAATAAATAAAAAAATTTATCTCGATTTAAAAAAAATATTTTTTTAAAAGTATTTTTTTCCAAGTACCAGATACTTCCCAATACTACCACTTAGACGCCGATGCACCATTTCAGCGAACAGGGGTCATGACTGTGGAGATGGTAGGCAGCAGCCGCAGAGCAGGATTGAGAATCGAATAAAGCTGCACATTGGGCAGCAGAAACTGACTCCCTGAGTCCCCCCTCTAAGCTATGCTATTCCTCACCCTTTTCCCCTCTCTCCGTTGCTCCGCTTGCTCATGGCTCTCTGAGTAGGTGAAAAGGGTGGCAAAACAAAAAACAAAACAAGTGTGGAACATTTATTGCATAAATCATAGGAGTGGTGCTGGGTTGCGGTTAGGAAATGGATTATTTTAGTTCTGATATTGGTAGATCAATATCATTCTCTCAGTTTCTAAAACTTAGCCTTATTTTAGTTCTTTGAAATTTAATATAATTTTGATCTACTTAAAGATTTTTAATTATTTAAACATTGTTGTGGGTCATTGAAACGTTGTTTTAAGACATTCAATTTGAGGAATTAAATATAAATATCCATTGAAATTGCACATACAATAATTAAATACGAAATGATCGCCCTACCAAGTGAACCGCATGCTAGCGATCTGTACGGTAAATTTGTGGTAGCAAACGTCGCAGATAAATAGATTTGGGTGACAGTGCTCATCGAAACTGTTCAGAAGGTGGAACCATTAATTATCACCCCAACCTAACCATCCTGTCTTCAGGCGCAGCCTTCCTCCCTCCTTCCTTCCTTCCTAACCACTCCTGTCACTCATCTCCATCCATCATTCTTCTTTTGTTCTCTTCTTCGTTTTTCCACCCTTATCATATCATGACAATTAATCAGCACTATAATATCTACAGCAATACTATTTTAAAGTTTTAAATAATACTCTTTCCATCTTAAAATTTTTGTTTAGCTAAGGTCTAAGCTTAAGGCACAGCCAAAAAAACAATAAACTCAACCTAATTTTATATTAAAATACAATTTATACTCTTCTTGTTACCATAAATTTTTTTCTCCTCATTAATAAAACGCTTTTCTCAATTAATCACAAAACAATTCTTCATTAGTAGATCCCCTCCACCCTAGACTTTTCTTGAGGATTGATAATTAAAAAAAATAGTAAAAACAGATTACTGAAATAAAAAAATCACAAATTAAAACCCATGACAATATTAGCATAAGTTTTGATAATAATAGTACGAGTTTTGATAATAATTTTTATAATCAAGTTTGTGTACAATTTTTCTATTTTAAATGTCTTTTTTTGTGATTTTTTCATGATAATAATTTGTTGACACATTCACTTTCAAAAACTCTGCAACGATGTCATAAGGGTGCAGGGTAAAAATTGAGAACGAAGAAAAGCATAGAACTTAGATGCATGTGGTTGACAAAACGACAACATACAGCTAGCTTTGTATGCAAAACAGAGGAGATGGATGAGTCAAAGGAAAAAGCGTCTTAAAAAATCACGAAGAACCGCAAGAAGGCGGATCCTATAAGGTTTCAATATTAAATGCAATGCAGTAGCAAGATCCTATCATTGAAAGCCATCCAGGGGACCACCTTACCTCCAACCATGTTCTCTTTGACCATCCAGTCCTATTGTTTTCACTTTTGTTAAAATTACACCAACCATCCCCCATTCCATGTGGCCTTCAACATAACGTTCCCAATTGTATCTCTCATGTCTGCATCTTCTCTTCTCCTACGCCCGCACCCAAACAAGCATGTGTGCGCATGTGATCTCTCATTGTACTCACATTCAACTTTGACTCCACACTGATCAATTCCACTCCCCAACACCACACCCCAGACAATGATAATACGGACCAGGATTCAGTGCGAGAAGCAGATCCTCGCAGCGAGTGCGTCCAGACACGTGTCGTGGCGAGACGCGTAAGATTCGATTAACGGTGCAAAGCTAAGCAGGTGACAGATCACTGATCAGTGAGGTGACCGAAATCTCTCCCCCAAGATCCTGATAATGCAGCCAGGGTCACAGTAAAGTAGAACCACAGCACATTGACACTAGCGGATGTATTGGGAGTTTTCTTTTCTTCTGTTTGCCTTTCTCTGAATCTAGACCCTTCACACAGCGCCATACTCAGCTTTCATAACATGAATATCAACAATAAGATGTGACTGTCCAGCGAATATTACATTCCAAAGAAACTCAAAATGATTCATGGACAAGATGAACAAAGGAGTAAAAAAGCAGAGTAATTTGTATTATTTCAATAAGATCCCCCTCCATTTCCTGTATTTTGTTGTTTCCTTTTCGTGTGTGATCTCCCCTACGTTTCAAACGCCGACGGCAAGCAGTGAAGGAATATCGGACAAATTTGGTTTTGGCGTCGTGGCATTCTTGTGATCAGAAGCATCCCTGATGATATCCCTCTTGCTTTTGGTACTGAACGCTCTCATGGGACTCGCAAATGCCCAGCCCCAACTTCTTGCTCGCCCATGGGAGATGGCCACAGCCGCTGATTTCCCATTCCCATGATCATCCGCAGAGGATGACACCCAGTACGAGGAAGATGACGACGACGAAGACGACGAAGTCATCATGAGCCCACTGAATATGCCAGCACATTTCACTCTTTCCTTCATGCACGGATGGTGGTGGTGGTTGACGACGGAGGAGGCAGCCATGGCCCTCGACTTACCTTCGCGTTGGGATTCCACCCTCCGGAGAGTGCAGTCTCCAAACCCGGTGGAGATTCTCTCGAAGAAGTCGCCAGAGAAGCTTCTGCTGCCACACCCGACAGATCTGGATCTCGACACCTTGCGCTCAAAGGATGAAGCAGAGGCTGTGGTTTGGCTATTGGGACTGTCATCCTCTTTCCCGCCAATTTCAATCTTCCTTCCTAAATTGGAACCCAAGAACTTGTCCTTCTGCTTCACCGAACTTGAACCTGTAATAGCCGGTGTGATTGTGGAAATGCGCGGGCTGTTACGACTGTCTCTGAAGCTCTTGGTACCCGATTTTTTTGCGGGAGCAGAGGATTTAGAAGGAAGATAAAGAAAGGACCAAAACCCATTTCTTTTTCTGGGGCTGAAGTTTTCGATGACTATATCATCATCCTCCGCATCATTCAAGAACTTCCCCATCCTGGGAGTAGCAGAGGACTTGCTTCGTTTGAATATGACATCGGAGGCAGAAGACGGCGCGGCCGACGAGGAGGAGTTCGAGGAAGCTTTCTTGTTCTTCCTGGCTAAAAGAAAAGGAAGGCGGACCCGTCGGGTGTAGTACTGGTTGTATTGAGAATCGGCAATGCCATTTTTGACAGCAGAAACAGGACGAGC